AATGATAGATAGAAAAAGAGAAATTGGGTCAAAAGATATAACGAGTGACTAAGGAAGAATGATACCAATGGAAAATAAGGAAAGAAAGAATAGTTGCAAAAAAAAATTATTAATATAAATAGAAAATATGAGAGTGAATATATATTGTATATGATGGGTTAAGTTAAGAGATAAAATCACAAGAAAAATTAATAAAAGGTGGAGTACAAAGAAGTGAAAAAGTACTTAGAGCTAATGCTAATGAGATGTGTTTTTTATATTTTAATTTAAAACCTTTCTAACATAGACATTCGGGACAGAGAAGACAAAGTAGGGTTAAAAGGATTTGTATAATAATAATAGTTATAAATTTAAAGATAAAAGAAGTTATTGAACATTTGATGAAATATTCTATTGTATTTATCTTAAAAATTTTAATTGATATGAAAGTTAGATAGATGTTTTTAATGAACTAATATGTATTTAAATAAAATTTATATTTATTAATTAAAAATTAATTTTAATTATAAATTAATATTATAACATTTAGTCATTTTTAAAATGAATCATGCATAGCACAATTTTAGAGCCTAGTTAACTACCAAATCATGAGGAATTGATCCTGTTGTATTGTACAGTTTATTTATTGTGCCTACTAAAACAAGATTTTTTTTTTTTTTTGCTTAATGTGAGATGATAAATTATACAGTACAAAACAAGTTTGCCATTACCGAATCTCTTCCCACAATTGACTTTGAACCCTCCATCAGGGAAACTCGAGTTTCTAATCATTTGGACGTCTTTAAGCCCACCTACCAAACATGAGAAACCCTCAAGAATCGATCAGAAATATTGTAATGAAATGCATTTTCATATTGTCCCAAATCTATTATCCCTCTCATTAACAAATCTGCATATACATAATTAAGTGTTGTATACACTAATAAAGTGTGGTTTTATAGTTTAAATTTTAAGGTTTAAGTCTTTAAAATCAACACTAAAAAAATTATTTTTGTTATGGGAATGCATTAAGATGTGATGACATGAGCTTAAGAATTTTGCAAATATGCATATCCACACTTCGTAGTAGATTCAATTCAGTTTGTGCACTTGTATTACAGGCCTTGGCTCTTTGATTCATGATTTGATGACAAGGGCTTAAGAACTTGGACATGAACAATGGAAGCAAAATAGCCACAAAATATAAAGGGAGAGGTTCAAACCTTATGGGTTTGCATCGTATCACACCCCAAAATAAGTAGCGAAACAAACGTCGTGCACTCGTAAACGGATCCCACAAATGCATAAGGCTCGAAACCTACTGTGTTCATAATTACCAATTTACATAACTTAAATAAAAAAAACTCAATTAATATCTAGCTTTCAATTACCAAAAAAGTCACTAGTCCAAATGGACAAAAGTTTATAAGACAGTCATGGCTATAACCAAGGGAAACTCAGTAAACAAAAATGATTTATCATTTCACATTTATGTTAAGCATGTGTGGCTAACGGTCTAAGTCCAAAAAGGATCTAAGTCCAAAATATTGACTAGCCTTCTAGCTCATCACTCCCCCTAGTTAACTGGGCCTCGAGTTTCACTTCCTGAAATGATGGACAAGGAAAACTATGATATAATATATCTTAGTAAAAATATGAGTAGCCCATGAGTAAAATTTAAGCATGCTTGATAAACAATTTAACATAACAAAATGTTCAGTGATAAATCGTTAATGCAAAATAAGATTCAGTAGTAGTCACATATATAAGTAAATAACAAAGCGTTCAATGATAAACCGTTAATGCAGAATAAAATTCAGTAATAGTCTCATCTATAAGTCATGGCCAGTGTTTAACAACTCCCACTAGCAGGCGTCAGTTTCAGTAATAACCAATGTATTATCCCATTGACAGGATTACAGAATGAACAGGTCCTATCGGTATACATGTCGACATGTGCTAACATTTGCAAACTCCTACTAGGAGGTGTCAGTAATCGGTAATCAGTAATCATGACTATATTAGAGACAAAACCATGCAGGATTTACAAGAAAAATCCATAATTCACAATCAGTCTCAAATTTTAGGAATAAATCGGAAAAATTCCATGTGGGCATGCTCAACGCCAAAAATAATAAAAATTTTCATTTCCATTCTAATCATGCTCAAGTGTTAATAAAATCAATTTAAACCTTGTCACCATCTCAAAAACAATTTAAAATATGCTTTTACTTTGAAATCGAAGGGCGTTACCATAATTTACTTACCTCAATCGCATAACGTAGAAAATTCACTCCAAGTGCTAAGGTAACAGAATAATCAAGAACCTAACCAAAATATTACAGAATTAATAACCATATGACCGAATATCTAAATTTTATTCTCAATATAAACTAAACATTTAAACCCTCCTATTGTTGCCGGCCATCAATCCCATAAAGAAATCTTATTTATTTATTTATTTATCCTTATTTTACTTCTATTTGAAATTTGAGCACAAAAATCAAATTGTGCATTTACATATATACATAAACACACATATACAAAATTCTCCAAATTCACAGACAACATGGAGGAACCGGCCTTGGCAAAACAATTGCTAATTTCACGGGATTTTTCTCTAGGACCTCACAGCAGCCAATTAATACTCAATCACATAAATTCTACTTGAATTAATGCTTAAATTTGTTCTAATTGCTACCGGAATTCATCCCCCTATTTCAACAGAAATCCGAACAGCACAGGGACGGCAAATAAATGGATAAATTTAGCAACTCATGGGTAATTTTGGACTTAGATGGAGCTGTCACATACTAGAAAATTCAGCAAGTAAAACCGGAGCTGCGAGTTCGGGAGGTCGACGAGAATTGAAGGAGAAATCAGGGGATCTACCAAAAATTGAGAGAAACCAAAAGAAATTAGAGTAAACCCAAGCCAAATCAAGGAAGAAAAGAGGAATTGGTGGCTGTTTCCTTACCAGAAACTTGAAGAATTCAAACCCACACACAGCCAAGAGCAGCGGACGGAGGGCGAGGAAACACAGCAGATCTGAAATTTTCTGCAGGGGGAGGATTTCTAAGTTCTAAATCTTGTTCTTGAACAAGAAAGAAGGGAAAAACTCAAGCTTTTTACTGTTTCTCAAGAGGTGGGTGTTCTCGGTGGCTTGGGTTCTTGTTCGGCTACAGGGGAGAAAAGGAAGAGTAGAAACGCGCGGCTGAGGAAGAAAAACAAGGAAAAAAAATCAGCCATCCTTATCCTAATTTTTTTCTCTTTTAAGTCCTTCAATTTGAAAATTTTGATGATTAAGCTCAATAATATTATTTCCTCACAATTACATCCCTAACTCACACTTAATTGTTCTAGAAATTTTTGAGGTATCACACATTGTGTCTTTAGTCTAGACTGAGCCTTTGTATGGGATGGGCCTATCTACATAATTATAACCTCTGCTATTAGAGCACAAAACCAATGAAATAGAAATTAGCAACGCTAGGGGCACGCGCCTCCTGCACTCTCCAACCTATACATGCCTTTTTATTGGGCCACGTTATTGAAAATGGAAGTGTTGGTTGGAGAGTGCAATTGGCGACTGTCCCTAGGATTCCTCAATGGAAATAAGACAGATAAAGAGTCTAATTTTTAAAAGTTTACTGTCATGGATTTGTTTTGGTTGTTGCCAGTGGCTATTTTATGTTTTTTTTTTTTTTTTAATGGTTACAATTTGGGGATGGGAGAAAAGGATAGTAGCATGATATTAGTATAGTTTGAATTTTAATACTAACTAAGGTATTGGATGCACCAATAATTAGTTTACAAAAGCTTGGTGTAGTTGTTTTATGTTCAAACAATTAAAAAATAAAAATAAAATTGAGAAAATTTCCTAAAGTTAGATAGGATTAAACCTTAATGTTAAATTTTCTTTTTATATTATCAAAGAATTAAAAAATGTCTATTTTCTAAAAGTTAAAAGAAATACATTTTTTTATTCATTTTTAAATTTTTAAAAAAATTAGTGATGATATAGTTATAATGTTAATTAGAATTGTAAACTTACAATTATAACTTGTTATTAAATAAATATATGTAATGCATACAATATCATGGACTAGATCCTAAATCAAAAGAGAATCATATTATAGTAGATTAGGATTGTAAACTTATAATATTAAGTGACTTTTAACCATATATATCATTTTCAATTAAAAAATTATCAACATTAATTCCTATCTTACTAAAAGAACTTCTCAAATTTAACTTATTTTTATAATTTAAGTGAGAAATAGCCACTAAAACCAACCAAACATGACCCTTCTTTATCTGTTATATAAGGCTTCGATGGATGAACTGTTGGTTAAGCTTCACAACCCCAAAATCTCAAGTTTATTTTCTTTTTTAATTTACTGTTAGATGTTCTCAAGTTAATTTTTATGTATTTTGAAACTAATCCCTCCCCAAATAATTTAAGGATGCACCCTCATGCAAGCATGATGTATTTAAGAAAATTAATTTTATTGGTAACTAATCCAGAGATTTTAACCTTAAATCTGTCCATAAGACAATACATATTTACAAATAGTTCCAATTTTTTGTTCTACTTTGAGGGATGTCAAGTTTAAGTTAGTAGTAATAATTAATTTTCACATTTATATACCACTTAAGATCACAATTAAGGGTAGGCGGAAAAATCCACAACCAAAAAAATTCAAAACTATACAAAACCATAACTGATAGATAGGGTTTAATTAAGTTTTAGATTTTTTTTACTAAAAAACCAAATTGATCTAATCTCAAATGGTTTAAATTTTGGTTGCTAAGTCTAAACAATCAAACATATGACTAAGGAGAGTAAAACTGAAAAGTTCAGTTAAAAAACTTTTTATATAAAAGTTTTAATAGTTTCTAGAATATTTTTTAGGTTTTTTCACCACTTTTTACCAATTTATTTATTTAATTAGGCAATTTTAGATTTTTAATTATTGAAAATAATTAAATAATAATTAAGAAATTAAAAAAAAAGTAATTTGAAAACATAAAAATAAATTTTTGATTAAAACTAAAATCAACGTAAATGGTTATTCTCAAAAAAAGAAAAAGAAAAAAAAAAGAGGAAAACCCATTAATGTTGGGTTTGATTAACAACTTTTAATATTAAATTACCAATATTTTAAGCTCCCTTTAATATGATTGTAGTCTTGAGTTTTTTATTTTGATTTTTAAAATTCAAATAATCAAATTAACAAGTAAAAATTAAAATTAAAAATTTAATAAATATAAAATTTTAAAATCAATACCTAAAAGTTTAAAGCTAATTAATATATAGAATTTTTTAATTTCATTCTATATATGATTTTTAAATTTTTAAAAATTTAAAATTAAAACACACTAAACAAAATCTTAATTATTTGATAATTTGGCATCCTTAGAGCTTCTCCCGTGCATTGCTTCTAAGGTTGAGAGCAGTGGCGGTAGGTTTTTCTCCCTAAGGATTGTCTCCGGCATAGGAGTTCCTTCATCCCTCCTTTCTTTTTACCCCCCTTCCTCCTCTTAATCTCTTTCTTCCTCTCGTCACTGTCTTGCTTTGGAACTCCAACCCAAAGGACCACAAGGTAATGACTTTTTAGGTTTTTTAAGATTTACATTTGTTGATTTTCAAAGGTTGCAATTAGAATTGATCTTGCTAGTGAAGTGGGTTTCTCTTATTTAACGGGCAAGAATCTCACTTTGGTACATCTCCTCAGATGGGATCTTGGTGGTGGTCAAATTCGACAAATTTGGTTCACACCAGTTCCCGATCAGCTAACCGATTGCCCAAGGAAAGGGATGCTGTTGGTAAGGCCAGCTATGGTTTGCATGGGAAGCTTGATTTTCAAGCCAGTAAAGGGGCTCTAGTTCCCTTAATGAGCTTCAACAGCATGGGTTAAAAGAGGATCGATAAAGATGGGAACATGATTGGGAGTATATGGAGATGATTGGGTGATCTTGTGCTTGTCAGGAAAAAGCTCATATCCCTCTTGGTTGTTCTTCTTTAAGAACAAGTAGGGTGGCAACTTGTAGGTTAGGGATTGTTTATTGCCGGAATCCCTTGCTCTCCCCAAGAAGCTGGTTAAATAGGTGAGAATGTCCAATAGTTCTTAATACTCATAATGACTCTCTTTTTTACATTAGTAATCATATTTAGCTTATACAACGATCATAAATTCAATCATACTTGCATATGGTTCTCTTTGCTTATTTGTCTATATCCATAATGGGAATAGTTCAAGTCTATTACTAATGCTTCTATGTTATATTTTTGATTTTATCCTTAGATTATTTTGATTTTAACTATATATCAAAATTTTTATTACTTAATATATTTCTCTATTTCCCATAAAACAAATATTTGATAATTTAATTTTAGCTGCAACAAAAATCGAATCATTCCCACCCTCATCACAAGTCACAATTCTATTCTAATGTGGGCTGTGTAAGCATTTGTGGCAAAGCTGCTTGTATCTTGATTTGAAATTTGCTTCTTCAACCGTTGTAATCTCCTTCATTATTTGTAATGCTTAAAGAAACCAGAAGTAAACACAACACAAAACAATAGAAATGGAAATCCGACTCTCCACTCTAGAATTCCCTACGCACCGACGCACGCTTCTTACCGCCAAATTTAACGAACCCCACACACCTGTCCCATACCTCTCTTCTTCTTCTCTCAAACAATTTCCAACCATTGTTCAGATCTCACTCCCCTACCTCAACAATGGGGTCTCTCCATCCGCCGCTCGACCTCTCCTCGCCGCCTTCCAAGAACCCTCTTGAGATCTCGGAATCTACACTCTTACAACTCTTCAAGTCCCAGCAGGATCACCTTAATTTCATCTTTCAAAACCTTGATCTCACCCAGACATTAGCATTCACCCAGACCCTTCTTAATTCCCCTGGTACCAACTTCTTAACCGGCGTGGGGAAGTCCGGCTTCGTTGCCCACAAGATTTCCCAGACGCTGGTTTCTTTGGGGATTCGTTCAGCATTTCTCTCCCCTCTCGATGCCCTCCACGGCGACATCGGCGCGCTCTCCTCGCGGGACACCCTTGTTCTTTTTTCCAAGTCTGGGTCGACGGAGGAGCTTCTGCGGCTCGTGCCCTGCGTCAGGGCTAAAGGTGCATATCTCATTGCCGTGACGTCCGTGGAGGGTAATGCGCTCGCGTCAATCTGTGATATGAACGTGCATTTGCCTTTGGAGAAGGAGCTGTGCCCGTTTGATCTGGCACCCGTGACTTCGACCGCCATACAGATGGTGTTTGGGGACACGGTGGCCATTGCATTGATGGGGGCCAGGAATCTGACCAAGGAGGACTACACGGCCAATCATCTGCTGGGAGGATTGGGAAAAGCCAGATCTTCAAGGTTATTTTTTTTATGTGTTATTTTATCTTGGGAATTAGGTGATTCTTGTTTCTTGTCTAGTTTTGATTGATATGCAGTTGATTAAAGCTCATCTTTTTTTACATCTATTGAAAATTTGGGGAAATTCCTGTTTTTATTTGTTGAATTTGATCTGATACTAGATTTTGTGCATTACTAGTGCATTTATATGTTTAACAAATTATAAAGAAACTCATGCATGTTGGTTCCTTGATTTTCTGGGCCTTCTGGGCTCATATCATTTTGAATTTAATGACAATTGAGCCGGTTGGTGATACTTCTTAGCGGCGGAAAGTTTGAAATTGATTTGCATTTTGGTGGAATTCAGTGGTGATATATTGAGTCTTTTGGTGTTTTCCTTTCATACAGTGATTGTAGAGTTTTACTATTGGTTTTTCAATGATTTACTGAGCCGATTTCTGTTACTTCGCTGTTATTTTTGGCAGAAAAATGCTGTCTTTGCATTACTGCTTGCAATCTGCTTCTCAGAATATGTTGTGTAATGTTCTTACATAATTAGGGAAATTTGTATTAAAAGAATTTCAGAAAAGAACTATAACATAGGAGACTTTTTTCTCAATCTTGTGAAGTAATGAGTTATTGCTTTGGAGATGTAGGTAAAAGATGTTATGAAGAAGCAGGACGAGCTTCCCATTTGTAGGGAAGGAGACATGATAACGGATCAGCTGGTAGAGCTGACTAGCAAAGGATGTGGTTGTTTGCTTGTTATAGATGACGAGTATCACTTGATTGGCACATTCACTGATGGTGATTTGCACCGGACTCTCAAGGCTAGTGGAGAAGGGATATTCAAGCTCACGGTGGGGGAAATGTGCAAGCGGTAATGAGAAAAAAAATTGTTGTTATAGACATGTAATTATATGTAGCATAATAGAACCTTCTTATAATTTTTATAAAGAAGAATCATGTTCCTAGCAAGTTATTGATACCCTTTTGGTTGAATCAGGAAACCAAGAACTATTGGTCCAGATGCAATGGCAGTGGAAGCCATGCAGAAGATGGAGTCACCACCATCACCTGTGCAATTTCTGCCAGTGATAAACCATCAGAATGTTTTGATTAGCATTGTTACATTGCATGGATTAGTTTCAGCTGGCCTGTGATCTACCATAGGATATATTCCTTTCTACGGTGTTTAGATTCTGAATTCACCTCTTGCTGGGGCTTCTTTTGTGCTTCTTATTCTTCAAATAAATGTATGATTTGTTATTGAATGGATGTAATTGTTGATGTACAAGGCATTCTCTTTATTTGTAGATGCTGTATGGCTTTTGATTTATAAAATTATTTCATTTAAACCATAACGATTATATGATTCAATGTGATTCCTTTTGTACTATGTTTTATTACCCCCTGTTTTTCCTTTGATTTCAATCCTCTACATTTTGAAGTTTTAAACTCCCCCATAATGATTTAGAAATTTGCTTCAGAAGTATTCTTCTGGTAACATTTAACTTAACGCTATCTTCGAAACTTTGTTGAAAGGAATTTTCTGATGGAATACTTGAGACATGAAACAATGACGTGAATTATAGATTGAGAAATTTGACTCGGAATTTGTAAAACATCCGAAGTATATCCTTTTCTTGTGGGCAAAGGAAAAAGAACAGATAGGGCCCCATGCAGCATCCCTTTCCCAGTAGATAATTTCAGACTATTTCCTACTTTTTTTTGGGGATTCTTTTAAAGGAAGAAAGCAAATGTAATTTGTTAAAATGGCTTCAAAGTATATTTTCTCCTTGATCACTCTCAACTAACAACTTTCTGAGTTACCAAACCAAACCTATCTCACCTCCAGCAAACTGCATGTGAGCTCCTAATTCAACAATGCTACTAAAATTTCCATTGTAAGGTTGCAGTCAAAACAAACTTCAGTTATTCAATCAGAGGAAAATGGTGGAGAAACAGACCCAAGTTAATCTCATCCAGATATCATGTGTACTGACCTAATATACAATTCTTAATTTATAGCAGATATATCCATATATCTGCACTTAGCAGTCATTTTCTGAGCACAATTGCATCTGCATGGCTGTCTTCTTTTCGTTTCTTTGATTTAGTGCGTCTGGCTTTTTTGTGCATTAGAGTAGCACCTAGCAGAAGTTCCGATAACAAGACTTGTTTTTAGTAAGTGGCTGTTGTGTGATCTCCATGAGTTGAGCTTGCGTCTATTACTAACAGTGTAACGTTTCAAATTTCACATTAAGATAAAATTGTGAGTGTGATTGATATATAAGTATAAAAATTTACTATTATTAACAATTAAAACTTACGCTTTAAAAGTCTTAAAAACTTGGATTTAACTCCTCAACTTTATTCCATTAAAAAGTATAGGGGGTACTTTATCACGTTACATGAATAAAACTTATACATTATAGTGACCAGTTAAACGACCCCCTCAACATTCACATGCTCAACAGTGAATATCCCACATCTTACAGCTCAAAATTATAGCCATCCTCTTCCACTCTCCACATTCAACCCCACTAGTTTGACTTGTGTTGTAATTAATTGAGTTCGAACGCAATTCAAAAGCTTCATGAATACACTTAATTTGTTGCCCAAATGTGTGCTCTCTAGTAGTTGCTGCACTCAATATAATTGTGTCATCTGCAACTTAAAGATGATGCACTTTCAAGTTATCATCACCAATTTGAGCTCCATGAAAGAAAATTTTTTATACCACACTGTTGATTAATACTTTCAATTCAAACCCTCAATCACAATGATGAAAAGAAAGAAAGGATCTCCTTGTCTCAGCCCTCTAGTCATAAGGAATTCTTTAGTTGGGGTTCCATTAACAAAAACTGATATTGAGCTTGAGTGAACATCCCTATCCTATATCTAATTTCTCCACTTATCACCAAACACCTTTTGTTCGGCATATAAGATAAGAAACTCTAACTTCCAGAATTAAATACCTTTTCAAAATCGACTTTAAAGGTAGAATGTTTCTTTTTATATTTCAATACCTCAAAAATAATTTCATTTCCCACTACCACTCCATCCAATACTTGTCTCTCCCTAACAAAGGCAGATTGGCGTTTATAAATCATTCCATCCATTACCTTCCTTAACTTATTACCTATAATACTCCGTATGTCCCACACAATATCTGCCATTTATTTTGACTACAATTTCTCTCATATTAACTCGCCCTTTTACATTTCTGTAATGGTATTTTTTATATTTTCAAAGTGTATTAATTTTTTCTTTCCCATTTTAACCCTGTAGTTAGTGTTCACTTAATAATGCGCCTTAGTCAACAATAATTAAGGGTAGAAATGAAAACCACGTAAATTAATTATACTAATAATTGTATTTTAAATCTGTATGTATAGTCAAAATATGTTTGTTATTATGAGATGGAAAAAGTAGCATACAATTTGTACAAATTAAGAAATAAGAACTTAATTTATGTCAATATATTATTTTTTTATGAAAATGGATATATCAATTTTACATGAAGACATATACAAACTAACTAGATTAAAGAATATATGCTTTAGAATAATTAATTTGTACAAATGCACAATACATAATTGTACACAAAATAAAAAATAAAAATAAAAATAAAACCCTAACATACACTAGCTACAACAATACATATTTCCATCCAATAATAAGCACATGACCTGTTTCTTAAAACCCAAACACACATATTATATACATCCATACATGCATATCACAAATCAACAAATGGTATTAATCCTCCCTTTTTCAGTTTTACTCCTAATGTTAACCAAGTGTAGATAATTATACTTCATAGAAAAACCGTACTGTTGTCCATCTCGAATCTCATGTCTTCCAAGTTGGAAACTGCCCCATTATCCAAGCTCACGTCCCACAAGAACCCATATTCATCTTCTTTCGAGCTAACTTCAGTGGCCGCGGGATTGTTGTTCTTGTTGTCATTGTTGTTGTTGGTATTGATGCTGCTACTGCTATTTTCCTGAGCATATTGAAGGAGGTTTAAAAGACTTTGGCTATGGTGTTGATGATGGGGAGGGTTTGAAGACAAAGAAGCAATCATTTGTTGATACCCACAAGGCATTGTTTGATCAGGTGTAGTTAGAATATTGAGAGATGGAGCAATATTTGTTGTGGTCTCAAACATTATGGATGGGCTGAGTATTGCACCATTCTCTCCCTTGCTCTTGTGAAAAACTCTACACAAAACCCAGTCTTCCTGCAGCCAAACAAAACCTTAACTTAATCATGCAAGTCTATTACTTACAATTGGAAACAGCTAAGGGAAAATACATGTGTGGATAGCTTTGCATGGCCACTTTTCCCCCTAAGTTTCCTTAGAAACATGATGGTATTTACATATGGCCACAATTGTCAACTTTCCTTTATGCATGTCTTTTTCACATTGTTAACGCAATAAGGTACGCAAAAAATAATGATGGACAAAAAGCAAAGGAATTGATAAAAGCAACGGACCTTCGGAGGCATATGTGGGGTCTCCAGACGAAATTCATGCATGATCCAACCAGTTTTGATTCCATTTGGAGCTCGGTTCCGATAGAAAACTAACGTCTTTCTCATCCCCACCACCTCTTGTGTTCTAGGGTCGACCACCATACGATCTTTCCCGGTGGCTTTCCAGTAGCCAGATGTTGTAGCTCGGTTGGTCCGAAACCCCGTGGCATACTTCCTGTCACGAAAGCTGAAGAAGTACCACTCAGTCGCATTGAGTTTCGCCACCTCTGAAAATGATACAGTAAAATAGTTACAAATAAGAACTCAAACATCTCTAATAGCTAAATACTAGTAAACTGCTTTTATTGAAATTATTACAGATAATTATAAGATAAATAGATATGTAATTTTCAAAAACAACATCAATTGTAAAGTTGATTTCTAGATATTTACTTTAAAAGACAGATAATTAAGGCAAAGTTACATCAATCGTTTCTGTCAACTTTGATTTTCTCCTTGCTTAACTAGAGAGAATAATGCTGGTATACATATATTATTTTCATTTTAATCACTGAGTTTTGTCCGGTAAAGCCTGTAAGACTGTGTTTGGCAGTACATGCAATTGACAAAAGGAAGAGAGACTAGATTTTCCCGAGAAACAAACAAGATAACTGTTTTCTCATTAGATTTGGAAGTTAGTGTTCAAACTGATGGGTGTGGGAAACAGTAGTAATAGTAAGTACTGTTATAATCACAGACAACGACACAAAGTAAAAAATTTTAGAGACAAAAACATCAAAGTTGAGTTACATACGTAAGAGTCTTGTCTTTACAATATTGAGGTTTATATTTATCATTGAAAAAAACTTGTCCTTTAAGCCAATTAAGAGACCAAACTTAATTCTTTTGATTTTTCTTGTATGACCCATGTTATGATCTGAAAAAGAGGAGGCCACCACAAGTCAAAAAAAGAAGAAAAAAAAAGAGAGATCGACAAAAGGTGGATTCGATTCCCATGTTCCCATGTGTATATATTTGGTTATGTTTAGTGCTTTCTCATTCATGAAACTTTTTCTTCTCTATAATATATATTTATTGGTGTAAATTACCAAGAAAATTACCTGCATGACAGATTTTGGGTGTGTTTTTCTGACCAGTTATAAAGGACTTTCCTATTTGGACAGTGAAAACACTTGTGAATCAACATGGTTATGCACAAAAATAATGACAGAAAGACAGAAAAGGTTACTTTTATGTCTTCTAGATGATAATACGTTTTTTTTTTTTTTAAATAATAATAATACTGAATGTCTTGTGTTTCTTGGGTGGGCAGAGAGTTTAATGATAAGGCAATTATGGCAGAGGATAAGCATCAACATTTAGATGATATAAAGTTATAAACATTAAGCTCTACAGTCATTAATTTGCCTCCAAAATGGGCAAATTCTTACATGACTGTCTTAATATATATACCAGCATAGCATACCAAATATATAGCTAAAGAAGCTGGCATTCAGGTGAAGATGAACAAGTTATATATATGTATATATACATATATGGTATATGTCATATATACTGCTCATCATCATTTTGGACCACGAAAAACATGTTAATTGTCTGCTGTTTCTAAATACAGCTCCTACATATGCCAGCCATGTCTGTCTGCCTTTCTGCCTAATAAAAAGGTCAAAAACTCAATCATCATTTTCTCTTGAATGAATTCGGATCAATTTAAAAGACGAAACCAACTATCTTGTACTTATTAAACAATTTTGTAGAAAAAAGAAATTAAAGAACAAAATGATTATGTATTTGACGGTACACAGGAACATACCAGGAAGCTGCCATGGTTCACATGTATGCAAATCAATTTCCACCAAAGTACCCTTCAAAGACTCCTCATTAGCAATTTTTTTGTAGAGATAATAGCAAACCAGCTCCTCGTCGCTCGGATAAAACCTAAACCCAGGAGGCAGTGTAGCTCCAATGTCTCGCAGACCCATCTCAATTCTTTTGAGTATGAAAGAAGCAGACAGAAGGAGAAAAAACCAAGATTTTGGAAGTGTTTCTGGGTTTCTGAAGCAGGAGATCTTGATGAAAAAGGAGCTTTTGATGGTCCTCTTTCTATGAGAGGTTGGGTTTCGAAATACTATACGGAAGAAGATGGTGGGTAAATTTATATAGTTAGGGAAGGAAAGACAGGAGTGCCTTTGCCGGTTAGAATTTCTAACGCAATATTGTACCTGCTGGGGCAATGCTTGTGTCAGTAGTTAGTTATAGTGGGAAGTTTCAAGAAAAACCAAAGTTACAAGAAAACTTCTTTTGTGGGTGCCTAGAGGGGTAGACAACAGCGCAATTGATGCAAACATATATGGACAAGTTCCAAACATTTTTATTACTGGTATTTTAGAAACCCTCCAAAACACCCCTTTTATCCCCTAATATTAAAATGGATTAATTACTTGAGAGATTTCTAAATAAAGGTTCTTGCTTGCATAATTAAAGTCCCTTTCTATTAATTAGGCTCGGCTTCTAAAAATATCTACTCTTTTTCAAAATTGATTTTTTTTTTTAAATGTTGTTTTTAACTATTAACTCTTTAGAAATTGAAACCACCGAGTCAAATTTTGCCACTACCCAAATAGTACTTGCTCATAAAAATTATATACTATTTACAATTATACTTTTATTTTGATATGAGATTCAAGAATGTTATAATTTTTTTCATTTAAACACTTGGTAGTCTCATCAAGGACAATCATAATCACAAAAATGCCCATAGGTCCAAGGTAGGTGAGAGGCAATTGATACTAACTAAACTGACTCAATCCAAAACCAACCACTAGTTTAACAATTTTTCGAGTTAAAGTCTAATGAATCTCAAAAACTCAAGCTCAAAGTTGTTAGTAATAGTTGGTGATTATGATAATTATATACCAATCATCCATACATTTCTTAGGATTTGCGGCATAACAATTAAATACTTGATGTATACATCAAATTTAATTACAATACAAGCCCACAGCACAAGACTCACCTCAAATAATATGAAATTCATACTACCACTATCCATAATGATCAGCATGAGTCTACACTTACAAGAGCAAACCACAATGATATTAATTGAAATGTCTCGAGCTGAAATTTGCCAGTAGCTTAACAACTATTTAGGCTATGATATATATGATTTTAAATATCAAGTTTAAGTTGTTAGTAGTGGTTGGTTATGACAATTATATACCAATCATACTACCTCCCTTGTCCAAAATAATAGCAATTTGGTTGACTTTTTAAAATATTAAGAATTTGTAGAAAATCTATGTAATTACCTATATTATGCTTAAGAAATAAACTAAATAAGAACAAAACAAAGATAACTGAAAATTTTGGTGATAAGGTAGATAATTAAAGTTAGGAAAAATTATTGATTTATCTTTTTGATTTGACACACCATTTAACTCCACATAATTTACACATTAAAATATAATATAAGTATAGTTAATTAAGCCAATTCTTACATCTTATATGCATAACTGCATCTTTAAATCTATTTGCCTTCAATTTCAAATTAATAAGTAAAGATTTTTTAATGAGTGTATCGTGCAGTGTATAATTATGTATTGAATCAAAAAGTATGCCAATCGATGTTCTCAAAGTTTGTTTGTCTTTAATTTCATAATTACTAAGAAAATCATTCATTCTAATTATTAGCTCTTATCTTTTGATTTTGATCATTACTTATAATTAAATAAAAAATCTCAACTGCATTTTTATCTTTTGAGAGATAATGAAAAAATTGAAATATTAATATTTAATATCTTATCAAATTGAAAATGAGACAATTAAATAAATTAAGTTACCTCATTTAAAAAGTGAGATAATTAAATCTAATTAAAAATAATAATAAATTTAAACCTCAAAATTGTTAGATAGAATCTCAACATGTCTCTATCCAAAATTTTCATTACACATTCATTGTATCATCTCATAAGTTAGGTGTCTTGCTCACTAATCTCATCTCCAACTTATCATTAATTACATTTTGGGAAATATCAAACATGTACTCATAAATTACGGATTGGGAGATTTGATCTTAAGATTTTGGATAATCTCAAATGCCATGAATACTACTACTTTAAGGTTTCGTTAAGTTTTCTCCCAAGTAGAAAGGAAAAGAACATTAAAAAAATCAAAGTTAAAGATTCGGAGAATTTTATGGACCAATTATTGTCTGAGAAAGAAACATAAGTGCCATTTATAAAATTGCAACATGCCTTAATAATTCCGAGGTTCACGGGTACGTGATTATTAACTTAAATTTAATAGGTAATTTTTAAAATAATTTTATTTATGAACAATTTTTTAAATAATTAAATTAACTACTTTCCTAAATTTTCATGCGTGGGGTTTTAATAACAAATTGGTCGGACCATTCCAAATTGTGGGCCAACTTTCATTGCCTGCCCCAAACAGCAGGTAAACCATTTGATTGGCTTCATCAGCCACAACATAGACAACTCAAAGAAAAGGCTCAGGCTATTAATTAATGTCACCATAATTTTTGTTAAAGTTATTAATTTAATTATAATTTTATTAATTTATAATTTTCTATCCAGTTAATTACAATATTTTGAATATATTTATATATAAATTGATTTTAATTTGTTAAATAATATATATTAATTATATCAATTATTAATTATTTTTAATAATTAAATTAAGATAAAAATTTAATAATTTTTTGTGGTCGTTAAAAATTATAGTAGCAATAACCATTACCCATTGCCCAAAGAAAAATTGAAACTATTAAATAAAATAGACCCCTAATATTAAGGGTTGTGCTTCTATTTGAACAATTCTTATAAAATACAATTGAAATTGTAAAATAAAAAATAAAAATAGTAATATTTAGAAGTTTTTTAGATAAATATCTTTCCACAACATGACTATTAAGATCTTATTTGAGTTAATTGTTAGTTATCATTTATAATTTAAACATATTTATTCTTTAATTACCAAAAAAAAAACTAATATAACTGCTGCCAGCAATTAATCATAAACTCAAGGCCATGACCCCATATTTGTTCAATCTTTATCACAAGAGAAAATTTTGGAAGGATGCAAAGTGGGCCAATGATGTCCATGATCTTGGGACCCACTAATGATGAACGACATCGATCAGAACCATCATGATATAAATTGATCTCCTAGTATATAAATAATTGATGAATTTAATTATCTACATATAATTTGGCTTTGTGTGGTTGATAAGTGCATATAAAAATTTAAGATTATAAAATATGTATATAATATAATTGTAATTTTGAATATGAGTACATGAAAATTCAAGATTTTGAAATATGTATATAAATAGATGAGATTTTATACCAATGTAAAAGAAAAGAGCATTTAGGACATTTCATATAAACTCAGGTGATCATGTGCACCTACTATAAATCCTGTATTTATGTTCACTTTTTGAAATCTCAAGTCTTTATAAATATCTCTTTTAAAACACAAATATATTATGAAAAATGATTGATATATCCTCTAATTCAACACATTCTAATTCAACACATTCACCAACACACACCGGTATAATTATTAAATTATGTAATTAAAATTTTTCTTGTCCTAAATTTAAATTTAAAATAATATTTTCTTAATAAATGTATTATAAAATGTGTTAAAACAAAAGGGGTATAATCATTATTCATATTTTATATGTACATTTTCAAACTTTAAGTTTTTATTTGCATCAATCCAAATTATATATAACTAACTAAATTATTATTTTCCCAATTAAATTATTATATTTGGAGCTTGAGAGAATAATGTTAGAAAGGCAACAATAATGGAAATATACAAAAGGATATTTTGTCACAATGTAAATTAGGGATGGTATATGGCAGATGGTGCCTCCACTGTGGACACATATGTAGGAGTAGGACATGTCAATTCAAGAGGAATATTGAAATAATGGAGCTCGTGAACTTTCACTGTTTTCATGAAATGTGACAAATAAAAATAACTTATATAATACAGAAATCCGATCCAATTAACCTGTAACTTTCCAGTAAAATGTTGAAAATAACCTTTCAATTCCAGGGGTTGAGGGATAACTTGTGCAACAGGTTAATAGCATATATAATTAGATGAAATGTCTTTTTCAACGCTAGACGATAAATTAACCATGGATGCCGGTCTAAGCTAAATTACACCACAAACTCCACAGTTAACATATATGGTTTGTTTGTTATATTGTCCGAACACTAATCATGATTTAATTACGTGTGTAATGAAGCTTTTGTTTGTATAATGGTATTTTTTAAATATAATATCTGTAATTAATTTTATATAAATTTTCATATTAAATTTATATTTTTTCACAAATTTTGAGTATAAATTTATAAAAAGATATGAAATTAATATAAAAATTTATACAAAATTAATTACAAATACTATAATTAATAACCCTTAAAGGCACAAATTAAATAAAATTTTATATAATTAATCATAACTATAACAGACGGTTGAATATATGTATATCAAAGTACTTAATTAACTAAACTTTTTTTTATGGCGGCGGCTCAATTGATACAAATTATTGACTAATTAATGCATGCATAATTAATTTTGACAATGAATTCAAAAGAGATATGCGAAGATATAATTAGTTCACAATGGATTTAAAGTACGTAGTCAAAGAGATCATTAAGGTTTTTCATTTTGGTATAACGAGGGATGGAATAATTAGACATTTGTTAACATTGACTAATTGTTCTTTGAACAAAACCCTAAAATTACGCACCGGAAAACAAGTTATCGATCCACAAAGAAAGGTACACGTCATGAGGGAGAATGACGTGGAGATTGTTCTAATTAAATTACATAAAAAATCATTATGACAAATATCCCAAGCAAGGAAAGATAATTGAAATGATTTTGAATTTTAGGGTTACGGTTTTTTTTCCAAGGAGGAAACCTTGGTTAGGTGGTGTTGATGTTGGAGGATGAGTGACGACTTGATATTCCTCCCTTGGAGAGAGCCAATAATTTCAATCCCTAAGCTTCACTTTCAATGTGTCCTTTTACTTATACACTTCCATAAGTTATGGGCTCTTTATGGGACATATTTGGGATCTTGGCAGGG